CTTCTGCGTTTTGACCCTCGTTCCCTTACCCTCTCGCCTCCGAATCGACGCCACGTTTACCCCCGACATCTCACCTGTTCTGAATAATCTCCCTCCGGGCTCTCAGCGACGCCGAAACACCGAAATTTCCCTCCTCTCGGGCATAAAGGCAGGCTGGGGTTCTCTCGCTTCCCAGGTTTTGTTGACAACTTGATCGTTCCGGCCGCACCAACGCCATCTGTCGGTCGGGCGGGGAGTCGCGAGAGGCTGCGTTGCCATCTATTGGCCGGGCGGAGAACTAAGATTCCACGCCATCTATCGGTCGGACGGGGAACTAAGAATACAAGCCATTTATCGGACGGAGAACTAAGAATACACGCTATCTATCGGCTGGACGGAGAATTAAGGATACTCGCCATTATTTATTATTATCACTATTTCAATTATGACATAATAATAGTAACTGAGATAATAGGACATCTGTCGCGCCACCTATCGGCCGGACGGAGAACTGAGAAAAAATGCCATCTATCGGCCGGACGGAGAATTCAGGGAAATTACTATCTATCTGCCATAAGAGAGGATAGGTGTGGGGGGGTGGGGAGTTGTAATAGCGGTATATACATAGAAGTAATATTGATAGAGGAAATATTAATCGTAAAGAGATTAATACTAACAATAGCTGTAAGGCATTGGTAATAATGCATTAATGCATACTAAGAACTGGATGTAATTAAACTAGGAATATCAAAGGTCGCACTAATAATATCATACAACGATCGGTATTATGAGCAATAGTATATGTAACAGTAATAAAAACTGTTACATAACTTGAAATAGTGACGTTTATGTAATAAATGTTGGTGACGATGATAACTAAAACAATGATGATCATGATGTGATGCTGATGCTAATAATAATAATAATAATAATAATAATAATAATAATAATGATAATAACAATGTCAATAAGATAATAATGATTATTATTATCATCACCATTATTATTACCATTATCATCATTACTATCATAATCCTAGCCACTGTGTCACTGCCAGTCCCAAGCCCGAGTGAACAGAGAGGGTTGGCGTCAGGAAGGGCATCCGGCCACATGATAATATCTGCCAGAACCTGGTTATAGCGACCCCATACAAGATTGGGACAAAAGTGCAGCAAAAGATGATCATGATTATAGTGGTTAAGGAAGTATTATTTCCACTATAACTACTACTAATAATAAGAATAGTAATAATAATAATAACAATGATAACAGTAATATAAATGATAATAATAACAAGATAATAACATTGATAATAATAACAATGACAATAGTAATATCAGTGATAGTAACAAAGGCAGTAACAATGATAATAAAATAATAATAATAAAAATAATAACAATGATAATATTAATATAATCAATATTAATGATAGTAATAATAATGATGATAATAATAATGATAATGATGATTATTGCCATTAGCAGTATTATTATTATTATCATTACAAGTGTTATTATTGATTATAATAATATCATTGACATTATCATAATGATTATAATAATAATAATTATAGTAATTATTATTATTATTTTTTTATTATTATTATAATTATTTTCACCATTATTACTATATCATCATTATCACTATTACCATCATTATCATTATTATCATCATTATTATTAATTTCATCATCATTATCATTACCATCTTCACAGTTATTACTATTACTATTCAGATTTTCCGTGAATAATTGTATGATTTTTTTTCTCGCTTCTTGCTTTGTTCGAATATTGTTTTATATTGATTATACTACTGATAATGATTCTTTGTACAGATGTTAGTGAGGCACACAAACACACGTTCAAATATATGAATAGATCGCGAGATAATTAAATATGGATATAGATAGATAGAAATCTGATAGGTAGATAGATATACATGTATACATACACACACAAATACACGCACACACACACACACACACACACACAGAGGGGGGGGGAGAGAGGGAGAGAGGGAGAGGAGAGAGGAGAGAGGGAGAGAGGGAGAGAGGGAGAGAGGGAGAGAGAGAGAGAGAGAGAGAGAGAGAGAGAGAGAGAGAGAGAGAGAGAGAGAGAGAGAGAGAGAGAGAGAGAGAGAGAGAGAGAGAGAGAGAGAGAGCAACTTGACAAAGCGTCACACTGCACTGGACAGCAGGGTTTTTTTTATTACATCCTCATAAAAAAATCTTGACTCGGAATAAAAAAAGAAAAGAAAAAAAGTGAAGCCATGTTGCCTGCTGCATGTCGTAGGCTGCAACAGTTAGCAACCAGCAAAATGTCACAACTGTGCACTCAAAATAGCCATCGTCATTGCCCTTCTACATTTTTTTTCTTTTCGAGGAAGAGGCTATCATATTAGGGAGCATTAATTACATACAAGAATATATTACTGCTATGATTGATTTCGCGAACGAGGCAATTAGTGGGAAATCATAATAGATGAAATAAGTCTATTTATATAACATGGCCTTAGACAAAAGAAGAAAAAGAATAATACCAGAATAACAATTGAAGGAAGGAATGCGTAGCAAGGGAATTAAATATCAATATTCGATAAACGATTTACTTAAAGCTTATAGAAGGAAGAGGGAAATGCCACTGAGAACGAAAAAAGACAGAACGAATAATTATTAGGTGGCTTTTATCGTTATCTCTGAATTTTCTGGCATCCTTTCAATAATATACCTATTTATATATTTCCAAAGCGATCACTTTTATCACCATCACTATAAACGCTCTTGTTTTGTTATTAATAAAATTACTTTCATTAATCGGCATCAACATTAAAATGATTACTGTTGTATTTCATAAGTATATAATAAAACTATCACCTTTATTTCTAGAGCTAATATACTCTTTATCATTTTGTTTGATTAGACAAGGCGTGGATATAGAGGAAGGAGACGGAGGAAAGATCGGTGGAGGAAAAGGAAAGAGGGGGGAAAAAAGAAAGGAAGAAAAAAAGGAAAAGAGAAGGGGAGAGAGAGACAGAGAGAGAGAGAGAGAGAGAGAGAGAGAGAGAGAGAGAGAGAGAGAGAGAGAGAGAGAGAGAGAGAGAGAGAGAGAGAAAGAGAGAGAGAGAGAATGACACTGCAAGCACACTGGCATGACACTGCTTGCGTACATTATCTTATCAACACAGATAAAGACTCCTTAGGAACATATGCTTACTGTCAATGCATTATGTGCCATTCGTTGTCTTTGTCCCTGATTGTTTGTCTGTGTGTCTGTCTGTCTCTGTCTCTCTCTTTTACGCTCTCGCTCGCTTACTCTCCTTCACTCCCATCCGTCGTCCACCTCGCTCTCGCTCTCTCTTTCTCTCACTCTCTCTCTCTCTTTCGCTCGCTCACTCTCCTTCACTCCCATTCGTCCTCCACATCTCTCTCTCTCTCTCTCTTTCTCTCTCTCTCTCTTTCTTTCGCTCGCTCACTCTCCTTCACTCCCATTCGTCCTCCACATCTCTCTCTCTCTCTTTCGCTCGCTCACTCTCCTTCACTCCCATTCGTCCTCCACCTCTCTCTCTCTCTCTCTCTCTCTCTCTCTCTCTCTCTCTCTCTCTCTCTCTCTCTCTCTCTCTCTCTTTCGCTCGCTCACTCTCCTTCACTCCCATTCGTCCTCCACATCTCTCTCTCTCTCTCTCTTTCTCTTTCGCTCGCTCACTCTCCTTCACTCCCATTCGTCCTCCACCTCTCTCTCTCTCTCTCTCTCTCTCTCTCTCTCTTTCGCTCGCTCACTCTCCTTCACTCCCATTCGTCCTCCACCTCTCTCTCTCTCTCTCTCTCTCTCTTTCGCTCGCTCACTCTCCTTCACTCCCATTCGTCCTCCACCTCTCTCTCTCTCTCTCTCTCTCTCTTTCGCTCGCTCACTCTCCTTCACTCCCATTCGTCCTCCACCTCTCTCTCTCTCTCTCTCTCTCTCTCGCTCGCTCACTCTCCTTCACTCCCATTCGTCCTCCACATCTCTCTCTCTCTCTCTCTCTTTCGCTCGCTCACTCTCCTTCACTCCCATTCGTCCTCCACCTCTCTCTCTCTCTCTCTTTCGCTCGCTCACTCTCCTTCACTCCCATTCGTCCTCCACCTCTCTCTCTCTCTCTCTCTCTCTTTCGCTCGCTCACTCTCCTTCACTCCCACTCTCTTTTATACTTTATTGAAAAAAAATTACATTCTTTTTGGGTATAATTTTTAGACATGTTACAGTCAAAACACTTATTTTTACAAACTAAAGGAATTAAGTTTAGTGCCTCCTATCGTAAAGTCTAACTTCACCCCACTGAGCCACGTACTCACGTACTATGACACAATATAGATGGACGCGGAACATTGTCGTCAAGCCAACTACGTCTCTCCTGTGTTGAAGGCTGTCAAGGTTCAGTTGATACAGTTGGGTCCTGTCTTTGATAATTGTCTTCGCTCTTTCCTGTATTCTATCCAAGATTTTGAGGCGAATTTTTGGTTTCTGGAGGAGTTCCTTCCCCTCACCGTCCAGCAGTCATCTGATTCTTCTCAGGGATGCGAATTTCTTCGAAGCCCTTCTTGCCAAGTTTTCTATGTGATTTTTGAATGTCATTTTTTCGTCGAATGTCATGCTCAGTCTTTCAATTTCTTCTTGTGGTCTTATTTTTTTCCTCATTGAAGTTTACTTGGACATCACTGGTCGTCCTCTCGACAGCTATAAACTGGGTTTTATTCAGGGCAAAGGAGACCTGCCATTTCTCCCCCCAAGTCGAGGTCTGTTCGAGTCCGTCATTTAGTTTTTTTATGGTGCCATCCTGTTCCCTAAAGCAGAGTGTTCCATCATCCGCAAATGCTTCGGCTACAGGAATGAGGTGGAGCAAGTCACCGAGGAAAACATTCCACAGCAGAGGGCCCAATGTGCTTCCTTGAGGGACACCTGTTTAGTGAACAGAGTGTTCTCCTCTGAGAACTACTGTCATTCGTCTATCGAGTAGATGATTTTTCAAAAGGATCAGAAGTTCGTCGT